AGTATCAATGATGTTTCGTTTCAACAGTTCTTTAACGCACTCCGTTACAAAAACTTTCTTCTTAAGATGGCTGAACACAGTTTTGGTAGTTTGTGAGTATACGTCATTTGTCAAATCATGGCAAGAGAAAGGTTGTAGCTCACAAGCTGAAACTTGGCAGGTGAAAAATATACTGATGAAAGATTTTGATCGACAGGTAGAATGTGACGTTTTCGTTGTTTTCATGGCAACATGAACGATTGAACACAACCTTAAAATTTCACTTTTGCTCAGTTTACATAAAATTCGCTCATTAGATTTTCCTATAAACTTGCAGGCAGCTTACTGTAAGTAATCATTACCATTTGAAAGTGATTTGACGAAATTTTAACAGACGGGTTTTTAGATAATCAATAATATAATTGTATCGTAATTATTAAATGTATCACAAAATTCTTCTGTTCGACTTCCATTTTAAAGTCCTCATTAATTAAATACGATAAAAACCAAAATTCTGCCAAATATCAGAAAATTTTAATGAGCAGATTTTGAGAAACAGTCTTCTGTGTACCAATGCTTTTTTCGCCGCCATGTTTGTTTATCTAATTTAAAACACGCGCCGTTACGCGAGTTACCGCTAACTGCCCGCAAAACTTGGTTCAGCCACCTTAACGCAGGTGAACCAAATTGTGAAATGTGAACAAGTCATGGCCGTCTACGAAGGTATTACTAAAGAGAGAATGGGTAGCACGCATGGGAACTGCAAAATAAAAAAAAGGGAGAATAGGCAATGAAGATACTGACAGGGGTAGGGTTTAAATTACCTTTTGTCCCCTTGCTTCCCGGGGTCATTCCCGTTCTTCGTTCCTCGTTTTAGTAAAGTCCTGTCCAGGAGTCCTGGTCCTGTCAGTAGCCATGCCAGTAAATACAGGTAGTAATCAGTGCCGGATCCAGACCTTGAGATAAAGGGGAGGGGAGGGGAGGGGAGGGGAGGGTGTACTGTCGCAATTTGTAATAATCATCGCACTTTGTAATACCTGTCGCGATTTGTAATAAATCCATCGCACTTTGTAATACCTGTCGCAATTTGTAATAAACCGTGTCTCACTTTGTAATAAAAAAATCTGTCGCAATTTGTAACAACTGTCCATCGCACTTTGTAATAAACTAAGCTGTCGCAATTTGTAATAATTCCATCGCACTTTGCAATAACTTTTTGAGAGTAATTAAACTTACTTCGTCAACATTAATATAACGCCAAAATATGCATGGTACTTCATAAACAAAGATGGAGATGACGTCTGCTAGCACGTAACATCTTTTTAGACTAATGTTGATTAGTTATCTGACATACGAAATGCTGTATTCTTGAACCTTGCTATTGTACTAGGTGGCTTGCATTCAATGGTTACCCGGCGGGTGTACTTCCTTATATGGCCAATACGGGGATTTGTCTCTGGACAGAGCATTGCCAGAGTAGAGGATCTAGACAGAGCTAGACACACTAGACACAAACAAGCCATTATTAAAAAGCATTTAATTTCCGCTAATCGTAACATGCATCTTACATCATTCGAATAAGGACACAAGGAGAGTTCAAGTTTTCCTTGTTAGACCTTATAACAGGTTGACACATCACGTGGTACACCGTTCTTGTCTAACGAGCAATCTTAAAGAATTAATAGTGGCTTCCATATTTTGGCCAACTAAATCAAACGAGGCCTGTAAAGATTCAAAATGTTTACTGCAAATAAAAAAAAAGTCACCAGTGGCAAACCTTCGAACCACAACAGAAACCTAAACACAAAATCCAATTAGTCGCTGGCCAATACCTTCGTATGTACCTGTTTTTATAACACTCACTTGGGGTCTTACACTGAGCCGGCTGGGCATTTGGTCCATTATTCTCACTTGATTTGGTCCCATATAGGAACAAAAGGAGTACTCATTCCATCTTAAAACAATTGTTTTCTATAAGGAGTCCTCTAAAGCAAATTAAATACCATGGGGATGGTAAAAAATTATCCTTCCCTGCGTATATACAACTCGTAAGACCTTGCAATTCTTCCGAGCGTGTTCTGGATTACTGTTTTTCTACGGAATGGAATAAACCATCCATTACTACTTGAGTTACCCCATCTAAGGATCAAACCAAAGACACAAGGCCAACAACGCAAAAAATGATACCCTATTAAAGGCTCGAGATCCTCAAAAACCATACCCTATCAGGCGGTACTTACCTATTTAGCCCATCCATATATCGGATTATCCGCCCCACCCCCGCCGAAGACTTCACTTGTCACGTGGCAAGCAAACATGGATTTGGACGACGAATGACAGGTTCTTCATGAATTTTCTGTTGTTAAATGTTGCCTTTCTTATTTAAATATTTTTGAATTTAAACGTGATTCATATCTTTTTGATGATATGTCACAGGAAGTTTCATGTTTTTCATAAAAGCGTTTCTAGTTAGTCACGTGATTAATCAAGGCAGAAAAACCTATAGCGGAAGAAATGAATGTTTGACCAAAGAAAATGTTACGGACATGTTACATGCTAGCAGACGTCATCATCTTTGTTTATGAAGTACCATGCATATTTTGGCATTATATTAATGTTGACGAATTAAGTTGAATCACTCTCAAAAAATTATTACAAAATGCGATGGAATTATTACAAATTGCGACAGCTTAGTTTATTACAAAGTGCGATGGACTGTTAATACAAATTGCGACAGCTTTTTTATTACAAAGTGCGACACGGTTTATTACAAATTGCGACAGGTATTACAAAGTGCGATGGATTTATTACAGATTGCGACAGGTATTACAAAGTGCAATGATTATTACAAATTGCGACAGTACAGAGGGGGCGGTCTCCAAAACGAATTTTCCGCCCTTCGAGCCTCAGTTTGGTCTAAAAATAAGGGGGGGAGCCGGGTCCCCCGGGCCACTCCCCTGGATCCGTCACTGGTAATTTAGATCCAGTTGTATATAGCATCTTTCATATCTGCTTCAGGTTTCTTCTACGAGCAAGCAAGAAGCGATCGAGATAAATATGTCAAGATCTATTGGGAGAACATTCTGCCTAGTAAGATATTGCTTACAGTAGTAAATCATACTTACGTTTTGTTAACCTGCCATCAGCGACAGACAGCAAACTATTGTTGCAAACTGAAAGCTAAAAAGGTCTATTTATTTTCGACGACACGACTTTTTACTCAATTGTCAATTGAAAATATCGGTTTGATTAAACTAGAACTTTGAAATCTACGTGATATCTTTAAAAGTGTTCAGATATCTATTCTGACTTCACTAACACGAGAAAAGGAACAATTCTCGCGCCAAAACCATAAACAATCCTAAACTCTCCCTCGAATTCCCCGCGCCCCTTAACCGTGCCGTTAGAATTCTATTTATTTCTGTCCAATTCGTTCCCATGTTTCTCAAACGTCAGAAATTACATTTTTTGGCATCTTTCACCATTGCTGGGGTCGCAGTTACTTTCCAATTGTTATAAAATGCGTCAAAAAAGCGCTTTTGAATTT